TGGCTTCCTGACGTAGAGGTTCATCATTTCTTCCTCAGACAAGACGTCCTCGATTATGTTGAAAAGGTTTCCATTGTGGATGAAGTAATCGATGGAAGTGTACGTCTCTTCGCTAGCACTCTCCTCTGGATATGTGCAGAACATTTGCTCAACACTTTCTTGACCATGACTTGTTGACTGTCTACGTGTTCCCCCTTTGCTTTAGTTGTAGGACTGTTACTTGCACCTGTTCGAAGAGTGTGCGTTGGTCCTTGAGGGTTTCACTTCGTAACTTTGATGATCAAGTTTGTCGATGAGTTTCTGGATCAATTCCTCTGGATTGCCGTACCGTGCATGAAGGAACTTGATTGCATGGGAGTAGTTTTCAGGGGTAACTTGGAACTTCTTCACGGACTCCTTAGCCTTCCCTTCGAGGCGTTCAGTAAATAGTTGAACTTGAAAAGCTCAGGTAATCCCCTCGAGTGAACGTTAACATTGAAGAGCTCTCAAAAGTTATCAAAGTCCCAGATGTCACCCGTGAATTGGGTAACAGGGAGTTCGGCTTGTTGGTGTTCTTGATTATGTGCGTGTGATGGGCGCAGTTGTTCGAGGTGCCTGCAGTGGTCTTAATGTTTCAAAGGATTTCAACGCGCTTATATTAGCTTGTAAGACGCAACGTAGTCAACAGCAGAAATCAAGGCGTCTTCTGCCGAACTACATATTGCTCCACTTCACTTGGGTCCTTCTTTTCGCCAACAGAGACAAGTCTCGCAGCGCCCTGTCCACTTGGCACTTTTATAGATTCGATTGTTCCTACCGCTCCTTCTAGGCGAATAGATTGCCTAGGTTTACGTTTCTGGAGTGGTCTTCAATGATAACCTGCACTGAATCGAGCTGTTGCCTTCTTGAAGCGGGCCAAAACTTGCTCTAGTTTATTGCAGAAGCGCCGTTATGAGGCCCTTAGCTGTTGCTAGTTCGCTAACCATTTCGACTTATAATATGACTCTCACTGAGCACTTGTAAGCCTAGTATCCTCACTGGATTCAATGGTTTGCACTTTACTTGTAGTGACAAGTAAAGATCTAGGCCATGTGACTCTCACTGAGCACCGTAGGCCTAGATTTGTTGCGAAAGTAATCTCCACTGGATTTCAATGTTTGCACTTGAACTTGACTTGTAGTAAAAGGTTCTAGTTGCGAGAATCTTCAGCTGACCTTGGTTCGATGATACTGGGCTTCGATGCACCATGTAATAACTTGTGTGCTGCCACGCGGACTTATCTGTCGTGATACGATACAGAGCCGCAAACACTTATCTTTACTTCAACTTCAGTAAATGAACCAGACAGTTCTCCACTTCAACAACAATGCAACGTATATCAAAACAAGAAAAACTGTATCACTACAACAGACGTGAAAGATGATATCACCATCGAGATGAATCTTCCAGGCGGGATAATGCCGCGACAGTGGGGGAGTATAACTTCAACCCCCAATTCGTTCAATTTATGGATAGTATTTTGAAAACGTGTGTGGCGACTGTGTCATGCAAAAGAATCGCGACCTATCTTTTTTGATAAGTGTTGGCTGTAGCTGACAAAATTTTGTGTACATTTCGTCGATTCCTTCACAGTAGGGTTCTGCTGTTGGTTTTAGGCCTTCCTGCCTGTGATAAAATGTTACAGTGGATCATACCAGCCGATGACCACCACACTGTAACCATAACCTTTTTTCGTGAGGATTCGGCTTTGGAAATTGCCTCGGTGGTATCGACATCCAACCATTGCCCGGAACGTCTGCTGTTATCATACATGATCCACTTTTCATCACAGGTGACAGTTCGATCCAAAAACGGGTCGTTTCTGTTGCGCTAAACCAGTGAAGAAGGAACCTCGAGACGTGCCGATTCCTGCCGGTCCGATTGTGGGGCACCCAATTGTCGAGTTTTTTCACCTTCCCAATCCGTCTCAGACCATCCGCAACGGTGGATTTGCCAACGCCTAGCCTTTCTGCAATCTCTCGAACTGTTTGGGATAAGTCAGCCTCCACAAACGCCTTCAAATCCTCGTCAGGTATTGCTTTAGGTCGACCACTACCAGGTTCATCTTCAAGGCTGAAATCTCCAGAACGAAACTTGTCGAACCATTGTCGCACGGGCTTTCTCCAACACTATTGGGCCCCCACACCTGGTTAATTTTCGAGCTGTCTCGACTGCGGATTGACCCAATTTGTAGTTGAAGAAAAATATTGTCCGGAGTTGCTCTTTTGACATGCTTCAAAAAGTCTTGGGGAAGGGGGTTTATTAAGCAATGGTGAAACGGCAACTATACCATCAGATAGCGCGAAAAATTCTTTTCAGGATGTACTACTGAGGCGCAAGGGAGAATGAGTTTTCAATCAGCAATGAATGTACAAAAAAATAGTAACACAAAACGCTGAGAACTTCCCGGACAACCTAATGCATCGTTCAGACTGCGTTCATACTTTGCAGCAGCGTCCACCAGCCACCATAAGCGCCTATCAGCGTCCACCAGCGACCAGGACACATCACTAGTTTGGGATTTGCGAGTCCGTACGACCCCACTCCCTTTTTTAGGGGTTTAGTTCCCTCCTCATCGAGCTGTCGAGCGAGAGGGGAGACGACCTCTTTCTGTATCATTTCTTAGATTCTCTCCAACTTCCGGAAAAGTTGTAGGAACCAAAGTTCCCAAAACTTCCAGGATTTCCCGAAAATATTCCTACTTTTACCCAAAAATTTTGCTGTCGATTGGGGGGTATTTATTATACATATTACCCATGAGACAGGGAAAAAACAACGTGAGCCAGCAACCCCTCCCAAAAACTCAGAATAGTAACGCCCCCCCCCCTCCATTTTTTCACTACGTCTCTGAAACAAGGAAATCAACTATCAAAAAAAATTGTTCTCAGCCCAAGTACGACCTAATACGACCCCTGCTTGGAAATCCCCAACCACGATGTGCCCTACCACCGACCAGAAGTGCAGTAATGTAATTGCGGTGTGATTGCACATGCCACAATTTCACGGCGCCTTGCTGTCCTACTCCTACTTCCCTATACTCTCTACTCCTGGTCGCTGGTTGACGCTGGTAGACGCTAGATCGCCATCCTTGATTTCCTAGTTCCTCGAGACGCTGATGGTCGCTGGTAGACGCTGCCGCGAAGTATGAACGCGGCCTCACTGGGTAAGTAGCGTTGACTGTAATCTTAGCGTTGATGGAGCAGGAAACTCTTCTAAACGATCAACGAGCATCGTCTTGATGAGATTTCTTTTATTAAGATTTCCAACTTGATGTAACTGAATAAATGAAGGCTAAAACTCAACACTGGGATATATCGCGCTGCTTTCAGACATCTAAAAACGAACGCAACGAAAAAGTAGAGTCAGAACGTAACAGTTATGGGGTACAGCAAACTGCTTGATTATTCTGGCAGAGTTTGAGTAATAACTAAAGCTTCCGAGTGAAGTAACGAGAAAGAGATAATAATGACAGAGGCACCCTAAGAATGCGAAAAAACGCGTTATTAACGAAAAAAATCTAGGAAAAGCTGCATATTTACACTACAAGAACCCATTGAAGAAAAATCACAACATCAGAACTTGTTTTTTTACCAATACAATCGAATAGATCATAGTTAAATAAGGTTAACAAGCATTTGAAAGGAAAAGATGTCACTAATGAAAAGAATACTAGTACCGGTAGAAGTATGCGTGATAATTATCGATGTTCGTGACTATGACCATGGTGATGGCTATGACCACCGTGACCACTTCGCATCATTGCAATCTGGGTAGAATTATCCAAAGCATGAGAGAAATCCCCGTGTTCATGGTTATCAATCAGGCGAAGAAGTCCAATGAGGGAAAATCCAACCAACATGACAAGTAATTTCAGCAAATTCGGATGTTCATTGTCTCTTTCATGAAGAAGCACCTAAACAGGAAAGAATCAGCAGGAAAGAATCACCACATTAAAAGCACCTTGTGTACTACTGAACTATTCCTACCCTGAGAACTCAAGTATTTTTCTTCGCTCTAACTTCGCCAAAGGAGTCGTTCGTGGCCATGATCAAGCCAAGCGGCGCCATTAGGCGCCAGTTTGTCGCCACCATCATTCTCACCAAAACTGATGAAAGCTTGTATAGAGGGGTTAACTGATATCCTGGTCACGAACATGACATCACTTTTTGGCGCTGGCGCCATCTGGCGCCAACTTGCAGCCAAGCACTATTTCCTCAAAGTAGCTCAAAACTTGCGTAACAACGTTGCTTCATGCCTTGATCATGAATATGCATTTATTTCTCGACACTGCGCTCGGCTAAGGCTGAACCTGTGAGAAGGATCTCTATAGGCCAGGCTCAGCCTTAGCAGAGCGCACATGATCATGGTGTCCTCCATTAGAGCCGCTGCCAATGGATTTCATATTCGTAATCGTGATGTCAAATTACCCCCCCCCCTCGAAGTAGCCCTGGTAGCAAGTTTTGCCAAATCTGCCCTCGTAGAATAAAGTCGGCGGAAAACCGGTCCTGGTTTCGGAAGATTGGGGTAGGAATAGTTTGTTAGTGCCAAAATTTGCGAAATATTGAACCTCGAAAAAGGTGACGTAGAGGAACGTGCCGACTGCGAGCCCCTGAAGGACTGTGATGGCAACATCTTTTCCAAAACTATTCTCGGCCGCGGACTGAACCGCCATTCCTATTATAGCTCCTAGAGGTGACATCAGAGCCAAGGTAAACACAGACGCTACTACCTGAACACTGTATCTTTACCTTCAGACAATTACAAAGCAGAGCCGACTCACCCACTGCAGTTGATGGGCATGCGTGCGAGCCAACTGTAGGCCCACTGAGAAAGCAACTATCAGTTTGTGCACGAGAAGAGACAGAAATAATGCAGTGGTTTCCGATGCATTGTCCTAGAAATACGTTCCCTCTTCGAATATATCTTCAGGGTTCAACGACTAGGCTGTATTCATTCTTCGCGTCAACATTTTGAGCCTACGCTAGCATTATGAGCGTTTCAAGTACCAGAAAAGTATAGGCATCGATCTAGCGTACGTCAGCGCACAGCAGCGTTCTGAGCGTTTTCGCGGGTAGCTTTGAATTGTTGCGAACAGTTGCGAACAGTCGCAGAAAACGCTGGCGTATGCTCAGAACGCTAAATCGATACCTATACTTTTATAGTGGCTGCGCTGCTGTGCTCCGGCATACGCTGGCGTGCGCTCAAGACGCTAGATCAATATCCATATTTTTCCTGTCCCCTGAAACGCTGCTGTATGCTACGGTACGCTTAATCGATCGCCGCCTCACGCAGCCTCAGGGAGAACAAGGAAAAACAAAAGGAACTCACTCCTACACCAAGTGCGATGCCTTCGATGACTGAATGAATTGACAAAGCAAGAACGAAGGTGATAGACCGAACACCATGAGAATGTGCATGTGGAGAAGATTTCATAAGGATAGGCGGGTCCTCATTTACTGCAAAAACACTTGTAGACGAAGGTGCTACCCCAGTATACGCAGGCATATTGCAGAGCTTTTGAAGCATTTATCACCACGATTTATTACAGATATTTTCTCTTGCAGTAGTTCTATCAATCATGTATACTCTAGTTCGCGGCGGACGAAGGGGCGCGTCAGGCAGAATGAGTGGGCCGCGGCGCCAAACCTGGTCTCTGCCAGTTTCTGAAGCGCGTATGCGACAACAAGTGGTTGAAAGCAAGTGATCCTAAGGATATAATACAGTCTCGTCACCTGTTCGCTTTAACAGGTGGAAAATAGGTTTGGCATCGTGCCAAACTCACCGCCTGACGCGCCCCTTCGTCTGCAGCAAACTAGACTATAACCTCCAACCTCGCTACTCACTGCCGATACCTAAACGAACGGTTGACCGGCTCACCGTGTTACGCGTGTGAGTGCTGTAAGGCTACGGCATAAAATCCATAAAATTGAGGGTAAGAGCGGCTCTCGTGGCGTAACGGATAGCGCACTCGCATGGAAAGCGTGACGTGCAGGTTCAAGACCTGCCTGGGGTCGAGATTTTCCTCAACAAGGGAGGTCGTTCAGGGCGTGTGCCTTTCTCGCAAAACCGGTTTTGCATATTTAGGGCTCATGCAAAGGACCCGGAAAAATGTGCTTATTTTCGTCGCCGCTCCAGGGAAGGTTAAAAAAACGAGTGAAAAGAAATCTTTGAATCTGCTTTCGTTCTGGCCTCTATACGGGCGAGGTCACTTGCAACTTGACCAGTTGCTGACTGGGGGCGTCCTTATAAGACTATTTGAAATCCGAAGCGAAAAACGCACGCCAAATGAGCTTCCAACTGGGTCACATGCAAAGTGTAACGGCTTTTCGCAAGTTTTCATCAAGGATAAGAGGCGCACAGATCGAGCACGATGCTTAGCCGATATAGGGTGGAGTTCTCGCAATCGGACAGTTAAGTCGGGGTTGTGGTTCGCTCCCTTGCGTCGGAGCTTTTGCATGGTTTATAAGATTTCGCTGTTCTCGCTTTCCATTGTGTCTGCGCATTGAATTAACCTGGATATTTGGGCTAAGCCATTTATGCGGCACATTCTGGTAGCTGTACCTCAATCGAGTCAGTGCTATTCAACTACTCCGATTTCACGCACTCACATTGGAACAGATTTGCGGATGGACGTATGCTTCCTAAAGCTATACAGGGATCTGATGCGAATTAGTAACTCCTGGTGTGGTCAATATAGACAATTTTGGCCACATCTTTCTTTCCAATCATTCGTTATTAAACAATATAGGGAAACGCCAGCGCCAGGTTCACGCAGCTATTCTGTTCGCCAAAATGCGGTGACGCCAAGATATTAGGTGTTATATCTTGTACAGAGGGCCACTTGATTAGCCACTAAAACGCGAATTTTCCGGGTCAAAACAATGTGTGACCTTCTTGGGCTTTGCTTACTGGCTTGATCCGGGATCGCGTAAGCGTCAATGAACGCAACGCTGCACGTTAAGATGAGAACTCCGCTCACACTGCCGACAAATGGTCGCTCAGACTAGGACCCGAAAAGTCAAAAAAAAATTTGCTAACACTTGCTCCTAGGGTAATGACAAAGTGCTTGATTTCACGATTCTAGACTTTATTTCGTCTTCAGTGGCTCTGCACCAGCATAGCGCCGAAGACTGATGTCTGTGCATACTAACGAATTCGAACGGAAAAACAGTTTTTGCTAGCATAAAACTAGAATTGTCAGTTTATCGTGAATGTTTTCGTTAGGACCAATGTATCCGACAAACCTTGATCCAAAAAATGAAAATCTGTAGAAGCAAAATTTGTCCCTCGGTGGGATCCGAACCATACGACCTATTTTTTACGTTTTTTTTTTATTCTAGAAGCGCGCAGCGAAATGACCCTCATTTCTTAGTCCTGTACTTCCCCTACAATAATGCACAGATCATTGGAAAAAGCTCACCACGCCCTGAAACGACCTCCCTTGTAAAGTGAGCAATCTTGTGATATTATCCTTTTATCTCCACTCGTCCGAAGGTCGATTTAGTTCGGAGGGATCATAAAGCGTTCCTTCTTCAATGGCCACTCCATGCAAAGCGCAACGACTAGAGTCGACGCCGCCAGTCGCAGCAAATAACCGCACTGCGTCGAATTCCATCCGAACTAGGTTAGCAACAGAGTTGTTGCCAAACCTAAGGAGTAGGATTGTTGACTCACTCGCAGCTCGTTCCTACTGGGCTTACTGATAGAGAAAATATTCAATCTTTTAACTTACAATCGTTTCCTGGCACCTACTATCCAGAAAATCGTGATGATTTTAACAAATGCTACAAACGAACGTTCTGGCGCGCAAACGGAAGTAGGAGCATCCGTAGATTTGAAAAACCTTGTGCAGGACGGAGATTACCGATTTTTGGCGGCTATGCTGAAGGCTGATAAGGGATAGAAGAACGACAACCAAAACCATTGAACGAGCTAAGTAATGCCATGAAAGCAAAGCCATTGAAATAAATAAGTAAACTTGCTTTTTTCGCAGTTGGTCTCACATCGCTCAGGTTCTGCAACGGCAAGCGAAGTAAATATCCTGAAAGAGCAGTCGTTATCACGCTAGAAGACTTCAAGAAACACTAAAAGATGACCAGACAGCACTTTTTGGGAAAGGACACATATTTACGCTAACTGATTATTTACAGTCCAGTCCGCTGTGGGTGATGGGGCGTGTCCGCGCGGCTGCGTTTGGCACACCGTAAATCCATTCTCCTCCAGATGTTTGAGCTGTTTGAGCTTTAAGTGACATTTGTTGGTGAAAAACTACTGATTTTGATAGGAAAGATATATTCGAGAGAACAAAAAGAAAAGGATTGGCGAAGCGCCAAACGCAGCCGTGTGGACACGCCCCATCATGCGCAGCGAACCAGACTTTTCCTATCCTTTGACGTAAGATTGAGAGGACTGAACAAACACTAATGCTGGAAATACAAATATCAACACTCGGGACGCATAAAGGATCAATAGCGTTTGGGTAGGTTTATGTTTATGTATAGAGCGATACACACACCATCCTTTTGAATTGCGTTGTTTGAAGAATTTAACAGGAATACGGTGCTCGCAGACGTCAACACTTGAATCCATGGAACCATACGATTGAAGACGTCGAAAAGATGAAAGACCAGCACACCTACAGTACAATCATGGCCCCTCTTAGATGATATTCGGAAATGTGTACGGGTACGAGCGCGTGCAAGGGTGCATGCGGTGCGTCTCAGCAGATTAGTGAACCGTGGAGAGGTCCAAACGATCAAATCCGATAAAACATAGTTGCCTTAACTTATTGGTGTGGTTCTTTAACAAATTCTGAATATTTGAAATTTTGAGCGGAGTTTGGCTTGAAGGGGGGGGGGGACCAATCTTCAAACTTCTGCAAAGCTGATGAACGTATTTCTTGACCATTTTCACTTTGACAAATCCATTTTACGGATCTGGAGCTCTACCCTCACGCTTGGACGCAAATCCTCATTACCTATCTCACAATTTGTTTTCGTATCTATCTGCATTGGGCATTGTTCACTTCTGCGACCCTGACGAAACGGCGTTGGGCGAAAAGCAAAAAATACGGATTGATCGGAGAATCGCCAACCGCTCGTTTCGCCGAACCGCCGCGGTTCGGTGGTTGGGCAAAAAGCAATAGATGCATATCGATTTCGCTGGCGAAAAACGCCGCGGCGGTCGAGCTAGCATTTCGCGAAGGCGAAAAACGCGCGGTTTGGCGAAACGCCCGTCGATTCATATCAGAACCCTTTCGCCCAATCGCCGGACTCTTCGCCCAACCGCCAATCGATACGTATCGAAAGCTTTTCGCTGAAGCGTTTCTCCCTGAAGAAACGTTTCTCTCTAGAGAAACGCTGGGCCGCAGACTGTGAACAATGCTTTAAATGCCGTACAATAGAAGAAAAAACTAATAAAACTTGCATGGGAATGAAACTCGTATAACTTAACGTTTACAAATCCATAAATAACGCTTTGACGTGAATCATCCACATGGCAGGAGAGTTCGGCGACGGGGGAGGGGCACTCAGGACTACTGCTACTTCCCATCGACGTGTCAACCCCTTGTTGAGTTGGCATGTTTCACCATGAAAACTCGACGAGCTTGCTACCGGAACTAGCGAAGCAATGGAAGTGCAAAATGCCGCCGTCGCCGAACTGCGCCCAAATGGCCATTCCCCGAGCCTAAACGCCCCAATTTCGTATCAGATATGATAGGCCGACAACGGCATGCATTCCCATCAATTCCCCACATGAATGAAAGAATGAAAATAAGCTGTGTAAAGTTCGTTTCCCGGAGATGGCTGCTCCCCACTTCCGGGAAACGAGCCTTCTTCAACAATGGGTCAAGCAGCAGCGGTTGTTTGTTTTGTTTGAGACAACTCCAAATATGCGTTGGATGAGCAGAAGACAGGATGATTGTTGCTTCAAATGAAAACATCCTATAAAAAGCGCATCCTACTCATCTTCGAATGAGCTGCGCAGCCACGCCCTCCCTCGCAGGATAGTTGGTGCTAGCTTCAAAATGAAACATTAAACAGAAATTGACACTCACTTCATTTAGAAACGCGTTCACTGAGGTTCCCGAGGATACAGAGTGTCTTCGGAAGCGATGAACACTGTGAGAGGCACAGGTTATCTGAAATGACCAGCTGGCATTCTTCGCGTCATCAGAGTCAACGTTTTCGACGTTTCTCTCGCATAAACTGGGTTTCTACTGAAACACAACAAACCATTTCATCATGGAAGGGAACCAAAATTGTTGAATTCGTGCATCCTATGGAATATTCAAATTTTTCGGCGTCTCATCGGCTTGATAGGGCATTTTTGACATATTCGCTGCTCCTTTTGCTGGTTAATGTTAGTTAAAGATCACATACATTCGTGAGAAGTGTAAACTCCTATAAGATATCGAGAGGTTTAAGCGAGGGTACTGCCACTGTTGTGTGAAACACATGGGGATCGTCCTTTTTCGGCGGGGAGAGGGTCGCATTGTCGTCTGTTTGGAGTGGGGTGGTATTTCC